AGAGAGAGAGAGAGAGAGAGAGAGAGAGAGAAACAGAGACAGAAAAACAGACACAGAGACAGACAGAGACAGAAAGACAGAGAGAAAGAGAGACAGAAAGACAGACACAGAGAGAGACACAGACACCGGGAGAAGCTGGGATTCTCTCTGGAGTCAAGGACAGTTGGAGAGAAGAGCTGTTCCCCTGAGTTCTTGTCATCTCCTGCCCAAGTTTGTCTTCATTTCTAATTGGCTCAGACCTCTCCAGCTGAAGGGAGTTTTTGTTTTGTTTTTAAAAAATACGTGAGGTATGCCAGGTTATGGTAGCACACTCCTTTAATCCCAGCACTTGGGAGGTAGAAGCAGGTGGAGCTCGGTGGTTTTGAGGCCAGCCTTGTCTACAGAGCTAGTTCTAGGACAGCCAGGGCTACCCAGAGAAATCCTGTCCTGGAAGAAAAAAAGTGAGGTGGAGATACTGGAAGGAGGGTGAATGCTGGAACTGTAAAGATGAAAGAGGAACGGTTCCATTTTCCTGACATTCCCAGTCTTTGGGGTTACTTAGGCAAGTCCCCTGTTGGCCAGAAGGATGAGGTTACAGCTTGGCAGTGTAGATAAGTAGGAATCAATAATTTAAATAAGCCCTTGCCTATGTCACTTATCAGTAAAGGAGGATGCTTTTCCATTACTGAGTTGGCCACTGTGATGAAGACAGTGGCCTTTGTTTTATTTTAATATGGATGTGGTTGTTAGTCACTTGTCTAGGACTACAGTTGGCTTTGTGTGAAAAAAAAATATTAATCAGCATCTCTAGCCATGATAAATGTCACAGCTATTAGGTGGGTGGAAATAAAACATTTATATATTACTTTTCAGATCTGTTTTATAGATTATAGGAGGTGGTCTTTCAACATGTGAACCATAATCATCAGATTAAACATTATCTTGGAACTTGTTAGAAGTGCAGAGTCAGGAGTAGGCCTCTCAAAATTCCTGCATCAGGACCTCAGAGAGTGAGATCCAGCAATCCCTGCCCATCACCTCCCTCCTGGTGAGTGCCACAAAGTCCACTAAAACCAGAGAACACTAACATAGATTTACACTTCATTGCTTTGTCTTTGTAAATCAAGACCTTTCTTCAGCTAAAGTAATTTCATTTTTATGTTTAAGTATTCATGATAAAGAGAGTAGTTTATGGTTAAACAGTTGGAAAACATTTTAAAGGCCATAGATAAAAGATTCTGTGTAATGCTATGAAGTGTTTTGAACATTTTACATTAAGATCTTTTAAAACAGATTGATTTTAGAATTAGGACACCTTTAAATACATACTTTGAAAAAGTAGGGACTTGGCTAATATAAAAACCTGTAACCCTGTAAATTCGCTGCCACTTTATTTACCCATATTTACCAGATGTAAAGTCATCCCTTCTGCATGCAAAATTTTTTTCACATTGTTTTTTACTGACTAGCAGCAAAAGGAAATAACAAACATTTTCTGGCTAAACTGGGGGTGCCTTTCTTCTCCCACTTCCTGGTTGAGGACCCCTGAGTATAAAATTCAGACTTTAAGTCTTAGTAAATTGAGATATTTGTTTTAATGTATGGATTATGTCCTCTTGGTGAACATAATCTTCCAATTATGTTTAATCATCCTGGCAGTATAAGACTTAGTTAAGTGTAAAAATTTTCTTCCAAAAGTAAGAACTTACTGACATCAATCTCAGGTGCTGCTTTGTGACTTGGTAGTACAATGTCTACAATTTCTATGTGGTGTGACATTTGATTAAAAGATACTGGTCTGTAATATAGTCATTCCATTTTTGAATCTTATATAACACCACAGTAATATAAATTATTTATGTATACTTCTGAAAGAAGAAAGTGCAGAAAGTTTATAATAGAGTATTAACACAACCATTTGAACTGTTTGGGATGGACATTGCAATGAGATAATACCTATTTTGTCTTACTTGTATATCTTTTAATGTTTATAAACAACAGAGTATGCCCTTTTGACTTTTAAAAAGTTACTTATGTTAAAAAATTACCCCAAGTACTGTTAGGAGTTTAGTTTTGTTTGAATTTTCCTTTTGCTCATATATAATCAAACCTAAATGGTCACTCCATGAACAATGACCTGATACCTCTTTTATCTGGCATTATTAATTTGGTAAATTCACTATGCATTGTGCTTGGGAAATTTATTAGATATAGTGAGAAAGGTCAGGATGTCAACTCCAGATGTGTTAGGTGACTCTTGAAGTCCCCTGAGCTGAGTGTTTTGAAGCATACTTTTGTCAAATCATGTTTTATGCATATAATTATTAATAATGATTCAAAATAAAGAATTATATTTACTTGCCAAAAAAATACAAATTAGTCCATTGGTTCAGGCTGCATTTTTACTCATAAACACCATTCCTCTAACTTTCAGGAGTTTAGTACTTTTGTATTATTGCATTAGCATGGATAAATCCCCACTACAAACAGAAAATTTAGGTCTAGATATTTTTAGTGGAAATAAGTCAACTAACTACTTGGTGCTTTGAAATAGTTGAAGCCTTGTCTGTGCAAAGCTTCCTAGATTAAGACCAGAAAGTAGAATTTGTTCATTAAACACATCCTTGACACATTAACTGTCTACATTAACTCATTTCAAGTACTATCAGCAAATCTCGTACAATTGAAGTATGACACTGTAGGCAGTAGCTGAACAGAAATGACTTGGTAGAACTGCAAACAAGGAGATAAGTAAGACGGGAAGGTTCTGGAAGAAATTTCCAACTGTCAGTGGGTTTGAGCTGATAAACACATTGATCCAGAAGGATAAGGCTGCAGCTGAAGGTTGGCTGTTCATTATACCCAGTCCCACGATGTTGCCTGCTCATAGCAATGTTATCTTAAGGTTATGTTGATTAGGATTCTGTCCAGTGTGTAAACAGATACTGCTTTTGATTGAACCATTTTAAGATGTCAGCCGGTGGAAGAGGAGATTTCACCTAATGTTGTTAGAGAACTTAATCTGAAACTACATACCATACAATCAGACTTAGACTACACTCTTCCTAATCTTAACCCACTGTCCATAGGTGCTCAGATAAAAGCACCCCCCCCCCAAAAAAAAAGGATCTGGGGTGGTCTGCTTATCTTGGAATTTTGGGGGGAAAC